ATTCAGGATCTAATACTTCTAATAAAGCAGAACTAGGATCTCCTCTATGATTAGATGTTAATTTATCAATCTCATCCAATAAAATAACTGGATTCTTACATTTCACTTTCTTAATAGCTTAAATAAAGGATCCTGGAAATGCCCCAACATAGGTACGTCTATGACCTCTGATTTAAGCTTCATCAGATACTCCACCTAAGGCAATTCTATAAAAAGGACGATTTAAAGATTTAGCAATACTTTGACCAAGTGAAGTTTTACCAACTCCAGGAGGGCCAAAAAAACATATGATTGATCCTTAACCATTAGAATCAGCTATTTTTCTTTCTTTTCTTAATTTCTTCACTGCCAAAAATTATAATATTCTCTCTTTAACTTTAGTTAATCCAAAATGATCTGCATCAAGTGTTTCTTTACATTTTTCAATACTCAATGTTTCTTCAACTTATTAATTCCATGGTAATTAAAGTATTAAATCAATATAATTTCTTGTTACATTTGAATCTACTCCCATAGATCCTTTTTCAATTTTCTACATTTCTTATTCTACAATCTCTCTTACATGATCTGGTAGATTGGCTTCTTTAATTTTTGCTTATAATTTTTCAATATCATTATTTTTTTATTTTTAATATGGGATTGGAAGATTATTAGGTAGATTAGTAGGTTTATTAATCTATTTAGACATTTATTGCATGAGATCTTTAGATACTTTTTATTCTAAAGCTTTTGTTTAAGCAAATTCTTCAACCTTAGTTTTTAAATATTGAATTAACAAATTGATCTTTGTTTAGTGGTCATCGATTTATAATAATTTTAGTTTCTAACTATATGGTAAATCAGCATTAGAGGCTATAATAAAGAACAATTTATTTATGTTCTTTTCTTCTTGTATGATTTATAAAAATTGTGGACTTGGATTCATTTAGAACTATTCTAGATATTACTAAAAATATACAACATTCTTACTTTTGCTAGATCCTTTAAATTGTCTATTATTTAACTACTCCATAATGTTTATTCATCAATAATTTCATCTCCTAAAACTTCTGCTGATACCATATAATATGGAGTAGATTTAATTATAGAATCTATTTTGATTCTTGCAAATGAAAATGCTTAGTAAATTTTATTAGAAGCATACACTCTATATTATTTGATCAAATTATTACGTATAATCTTCACTTGTAAGTCTTACTAATGTACCATACTGACTAAATCTCTGAATTCTTTAAATCCCATCGATTTATTGGTCAACTACTGGTACAATAGCAACATAATTATTATTCACTTTGGCATCATAGAATTACAATTCTGTTAGTCTGAGTTTTAAGTTCTAATATGGATAGAGAACTGTTCCATGAATAGGAACTACGAAAACATTAATCTTTTTCATTATTAATAAAATATAATGGCTAAGCAAGAGAGTGGTAAAAATAACAAGAGAGATCGTAGTCCTGTTGCTGTAACCATATTATATAAAATATTAGGAAATGAAAATATGGTAGGAAGCTGTAAGAAAAGAGAATTAACATCTCAAAGTGTATGAACATTTTACAATTAATCCTCACAAATGTATATGCAACAGTTATTCAATTAGTATACATAATCCAAGAAAAACCTAATAATAGTATAATGTTATAGAAGCATCTTGAAAAAACAGGTGCTGTATAAAAGCCAGCATTTGATGTTAATTAAATAACAGATGATTCACCACCTTTAGAAAGTAATTCAATAGTTTTTATTGATTAGAGGATATTATTGATAAATTAAATACAATGAATAGAACTCCTCGTTAGAAATATTAATTTCCATAGACTTCCAACCAAGAATTAGGATGGCATTCAGTTGTAATATATATACTATTATCCTTTTAGAATTCTCATAGCCTATCTCCTTCAAAATTCACATACCCAAGAAAATTATGCAAAGAAACAAACTATGCAAATGATTACTTTACAATGAATAAAATCAGTCCATATTCCAATAAGTTTAAATGAGTCATATTTAGATAAGCTATATTTTATAAAAAAACACTCATTTTTATTATTTTAAGCTTTCAATTAATTCAATTCCACCAAGAACCTTTATTTTATCACATAATATCTATCCTACTTTCTCAAAATGATCTATTGCCTCATCCTCAATCACTTTAGTACTATCAACAGCCAATACTCTTCCCTTTATATATACATATCCATCTTCTCTACACTCACTATATACTGCAATTGGTAATCAGCATCCTCCTTCTAATAAATTTAAGAACATTCTTTCAGCTACGCATCTCTTTTATGAATCTGTATCATTTAAAATTTATAATCTTTCTATTGTATCCTTATCATCCTTTCTGCATTAAATTCCTAAGGTTGCTTATGCCGGCGCATAAAGGAACTCTTTCTCTTCTAAATCAAAAGAAATTCTATCAGCCAAACCTAATCTTAAAATACCAGCTTTTGCTAGAATGATTGCATCATAGTATCCTTCATCTAGTTTTAAGATACGTGTATTTAGATTTCCTATAATATTTATTAAATTTAATTTAGGATATCTATTTTTAATTGTTGAAATTCTTCTAAGTGATAATGTACCAATCTTAAATGCATTTGGTAATTCACCCAAACCTTATAATTGTATTTGTTATTTAATAACACTACATCTCCTCTTTTATTCAAATTTTGTATATGCAACTAAATACAATTAAGTATCTATTATAGTAGGTAGATCCTCTAAAGAATGAACTGCAACATCTGCCTTTTACTCAAGTCTATAATTTGATTAATATAAATTACAAATATTATTCTACTTGTTTTGTAAAAACACCTACAGTGGGCATTTAATATAATGGATATTACAAATCACATCACAAATTTCATTTGATACTTTTATTATTTCACATTCTTATTTTAATTCACCTATTATATAATTAGTTTATGCCATTGCTAAGGCTGAAGATCGGGTGGCAATTTTTAATTATTTTTGCATATACAAAATTATTTAATATTTTCAAATTATATTAAGATATAAATTAAAATAATCATATAAATACTTTTTATTGTTTTTTTAATATTTTATCAAAAGTAAAAGTAAATGAATTATGATTTGATTTAAAATCTATTTTCGAGATATGTATAAAATACTATTATACTAGAATATTCATAATAGGAGTTGAATCATATAAGTTCTGTTCTCTTAACATTCAGTTATAATGATTTTTTTTCTTGATGTATTAGACAAAAAGCCAATAATATGATTGAGAATAAAGAATAACTGGAAATGGAAATTAAGAATTGAACTATAATAAATGAGTAATAAAATGGTTAATAAATGATAATATAAATATAAGGATTCTTAAAATAATTATATAATAGTGATAAGTTTGTGTATCCTTAATTTTATTTTTAAAATAAATGAGTAGAAATCAATCCAGATAATAGTCAGCAGCTTAACCAACATAATAAGCATCTAAAAATCAACCTCCTGCTCCAGCACCTGCACCTGCTAAAGGCAAAGCTCCTGCTCCAGTTTAATAACCTGTTCAACCACAAGCAAGTGGATTTGATGCATCCAAATATGTTAAGCCAGGACTTAGTAAGGAAGAAGTATTAAAAATAAAGGAATGCTTTGATATTTTTGATGATGACAAGAGCGGATCTATTTCGTATAATTTGTATCTTAATTTAGTCCAAATGAGATGAAAAATGCCATCATAGCATTAGGAATGGAATAATCAGCAGAAGAAATAGTGAACATGATTTAAGATCTTGATTAAGATGGATCTAGCGTAATTGATTTCGAAGAATTTCTTAATATATTTGGATTCTCAGGGTATTTAACTTATTTCTATAATAAAATAGCACAATAGAAGATGAATAAGTGCTTGAGAAGTTATATTAGGAATTCGATTCCTCTGGATAAGGTAAAGTAACTTACGAGGATTTCAAGAGAATAAATGATTTGGTATCAGAAAGATATACAGATCAAGAGTTAAGAGAAATGGTTGAATATGCTGATAAAGATAAAGATGGATCATTAAGTTGGGATGAATTCAAAACTGTTGTTCAAAAAGAATACCCAAATCAAGCATGATTATGATAAATAAGAACAAAATATATTTTCATTTATCTAATTTTCCAAATCTAACAGTCTCCAGCCCATTTCTCGTAAGAATCAAAAGAAAATATTTGATTGGAAACAATTTCAATCAAATATGTTATTATTAGATATATATTAATAAATTTTATCTGGATTTATTGTAAGTTTAATTCCTCTTTTTATATTTTTTTAAATATTTTATATGTAAACTATATTCAATATCTTAGATAAAGCTTTCTTCTAATCACTTAGTTTTATAATCTTATAATTTTGTATGTTCCATTTATTTTTAGAATAATTTCTTAAGAATGAATAGTTCATTCAATTCTTTTATAAGTATTATAAAATTCATGATGATTTACAAATATTTTGATTAAAAAATTTACATTTATTATTTATCATTCTTTTGTTAATTCTAGATATATAAATATGCTTTATTGAAAGGATTCATTCATTAATAACATTGAGTTCTTTATGTTAATTAGATCTTACAATTAAGATTATATTTTTTTATTCAAGCATAAAAATACTTGTCGATTACCTAACTTTCCAATATTTTTGGTTAGATTTTTGATTCAAACTTCTCGTATTTTTAAAGTAATTTTGTAGATATAATTTTCAGTAATAATTATAAAATAATTATAATATCATTAAAAACCCAATAGATTTCACTTCATTTTGTCTTAAAATCTCTTACTTTTTATTTAATTCAATAATTATTAGGATCTTTTTATTACTCTTCATAATCCTCCTTTGAATTTTGATATATATTAGAAAGTATTCAATATTCAGTAATTATTCATCTAGAATTCAAAAATAATCTTAATTTATAATGTTCATTTTGAAATCTTAATGATTGCCAATTATCAAAAAAAGTATTAGTAATATAATATAACTTTAATTATTAAATGGAAGATTAAAATACTAAAAAAGACTTTCACACTCGTAATTTAGTAATTATAAATTTTATTATTAGGACATAATTGCATAATTGAGAGAGAAAAAAATGAGAGAATAAGAAGAGAAAGAAATGTCATAAAAAAGAAAATAAGATTTGGTAGTTAAATTGAAATCTCGATATGTTAAAGAAGAGCAGAAAGAAATTAAATAATAGGTGTCTTTGCCAAGTATTAATACTCCAGAATCAAGTAAGAACAGATAATCAAGTTTAAAGAAGGAAGACTTAATGCTGGAATAAAAATAGAGAATATAAGAGAAACAAAGATAGTAATAGTAATAAATTAATATAAGATATTTGGAATCTATAAAAACACGATAATTATAAGAAAAATAAAAGAAAGAAGAAATGATTTAAAGATAAGAGATTATTAAATAAAGTGTAAAATAGAAAGTTTTAAATTAATTGTCTGAAGTAGCATAATTTGTGACTAAGGATGATTTATTAGAATAAGATAGTGGATCAGATGATTAGGATACTTAAAAAGTTAAATTAAAGAAATATCCATTCATTACAGACTTGAAATAATGGAAGAAAAAGTAACGTATAGATGATGCAGTGAAAGTGTTCATAATGGTTGGTGGTTATGGAGATATAGCAAAAGCATTAATATAAAGAGGTTGGGTTAAGAATCCAGATAGTGGAAGTCCATGTTTTGATTTCAAATTTACATTACATAATTCAGAAATTGACTATAATAATTTATAAGACTTTTAGATTGTTAACCATTTTGCTAAGATTATATGTTTAACTACTAAAGTTGGATTATGTAAGTCTCTTAATAATTTAATTTGGTTTAATAATGTAGATAAAAATACATTCTATCCAAGAGCATTTGATTTATCTGATGAAGAAGATTTTGAGAATTTTAGAGAAGAATTCAAATTATCTAAAGTAATTCTATTATATATTTAGGCTGAAGCTATTTTGAAAATGTATCTGCATTTATTCAAAAAGAAGGATGCTAATTTGATTGAGAAAATAAAACCATAAGCTATTATAGCATTATCAGTATGTAGGAAGATGTTATAAGATATTAATGAATTAATTGATCAATAAAAGTAGACTTAAGTAATTACATAAAAGGAATGGGATATACTTTCTAAAGATGATTTAAATGTTTAAGCATTAGCTTAGAAAAAACATTAAGCTTGGTTAGCTAAAATAGGAGAAGTTAAACCTTTGAAAAAGAAGAAAAAAAGTAAATTAGAAAAAGAGTAAGAAGATTCCATTGAAGATGTAGATGAATTTACATAATAAATTATTGATATTTTGTAAATAATTCATCTTATTTAAGATAAAAATTCAAAAATAGATTTCCTTAATACTATTTAAATGGAGTTGAAAATATATGGATTGTTAAACCTGCTGGATTATCTAGAGGAAGAGGAATTCAATGTTATAAAAATTTAGTTGAAATTGAAGATCATGTTGCATCTAAAGGAGCATAATGGATTATTTAGAAATATATAGAAAAACCATTAATTGTACTTGGTAAGAAAATGGATATAAGATAATGGGTTTTAATTACTGATTGGAATCCCTTGACTGTTTGGATTTATGATGAAGCATATCTACGTTTTACAGCTGAAGAATATGATCCTAAAGATTTAGAAAATAAAATGTCTCATTTAACAAATAATTCTATTTAAAAAAAAGGAGAAAACTTTTATAAATCTGATATTGAAGGGAATATGTGGAATTAAGAATAATTTAGTGATTATTTAATGGTAAAATCTATTGAACTTACAATTTTAGAAAACTCATTAAGTAAATTTCATGGAAATCATTAGACCTTAATTTGAATAGGCAATTATATGGTCATTATAAAGTGTTTAAGATTAAGTAGAATAAAGAAAGAATTCTCATGAAATTTTAGGATATGATTTTATGATAGATGATAAATTTCATGTTTGGTTAATAGAAATTAATAGTAGTCCAGACTTTTCATATTCTACTGTATTTATATTAATATTATATAATTAGCATGTAACTGAAAAGTTAGTTAAAGAAGTTTCTGAAGATTTAATTAAAGTAGTTATAGATAGAGAAAATGATAAGAAATGTGATACTGGAAAATTCAAAAGAATATATAAAGCTAAATCTGTTTTAGAAAAGCCTGCATCAGTAGGATTAAATTTATGTTTGGAGGGAAAAAAAATAAAAAAAGTTAAAGGATGATTTTTAATTAATTAATATTATATATTATGGAAAATTAAGATGAAACTTAAAATAATTAATTACTTCATTCTTTAGTTAACTAAAGTAGAATTAATGAAAGCATAAACTATATAAATCTATTAGACTTGATGAGTAAATATAATCCAGGACCTCCAATGAAGAAAACTATAGTTAATGATCAAGATTTTATTGATGAATTAGAATAATTCTTATATCAATTAGAACAACCTAAAAGACTCAAGTTTTATGAAGAATCAATGGTTTTTTTAGATGAAAATGATAATCATTCAATTTTAGATTTTACAAATTTAAATAATACTAATAACAAATAAGACTCTAAATGTTAGAAATAATAGGATGCTTGGCTTGATAAACTTCCACTCAAACATGAATTTGATGATCTTGAAGAACTTGAAAAAATACTATCTTAATGAACATAAAAATATAATTTTATATATAAAAATAATAGTTGTTAAAAATTTGTTATATGCAGTTCATACATGATTATGCTATAATAGGAGAAGAAGAAAATGAACCTAAATTGACCAATGCATTACCATTAAACTAACATTTTTAAAACTTTTCGAACCTTCTCTAAGCTTAAAAAGAGAGACAAAAATCTAAAATATTCATGCCTTTAGATTTGAATGTCATTAATTAAGCTCAAAACGGATTCAAATCATCTGCTCGCTCAAGTCCTAGAAATTATTTTGCAAATAAACAAGTTCCAAGTGTTGATAAGATAATGTAGAAAATGGCAATTAAACATGTTTCACATCATCAAATACCAACTAAAAAAGAGGAATTTTATGAAAGATAGATAAGATGGTTAAATTAAATAAAATAAACAAATAAAGTTAAAAATCAACATAAACTAAATTAAGAAATCTAGAATTGCCCATTTAAACCTTATACAAGTCCTTAACAGAACATTAACAAAGAAAAATTAAAAGAAAATTCAAAAAGTATCTTGAGTCCACCCCCATTTAAAAAACCTAATAAAAGAAATGATTCTTATACTAAAATTCATTTAGCAAAAAAATAGAGTGTAGGTTGAATATGAATTTTATGAATTATTTTAATATAAACTTTATATATTCTGATATAAATAAAATAAAATTATCATTATCTTATAAAATATATACTTTAATTAATGTTTTATAAGAAAAATCTTAGATTCATTTCAAAAACTAGATTTAATATTATTATCTTATATATTATATCATAATTAGGATGAAAAGTATAATAATAAAAGATGATGAATTAACTCTGTATAATTTATGAAACTTATTGTATGAAATATAAAACCAAGGCTTAAAACTCTAAGAAAAACTAATATTAACACCATTCAATAGATATATAATAATTTATAGTTTACAACTAATATTGCTAATCCTAACAAATTCAATAAGGATCATAATATTTGAATAGATTATTACAATTAAATTTAAGAAATAGGTAATCAATATTAAATTTATTTAGAATTTAGTTGAATATTACTCAAAATTATATATGAAATCATAATTCATTTCCAATAGTTACCCAATTATTTCTAAGATTATTTCTTCTGCCAAAGATTTCTAAGCAATGACCTCCTGGAACCATGGCGTTAATAATTTCATAGATTTCTTCGGGTTTTTGAGATTATCCTCTTCTTTCACTCCAGATAACATCACTCTTTAAGTAATAATTTAATTTATTATTGCCCTAGAATATATAATTAAATTACTTTATAACCAATAAGACAATTCTCTTTAGCATGTTACAAATAAAACCCATGTCCTTTGGCTATTTTACCATTAACAGTCTTTTTGACCCATATTAATTCATCAACTAATTGATAACCCCATTATTTCATCATTTTTGCAGCAATTCGATATTTGGCATTAATTGTCCATATAAATAGGAAACCTTCCTTTTGTAATAAAGGAATAGGTAATTCCATTAATTAATCATCTTTAAGTGATTGATATGCAATGGCCACTCCTCTAGATGGTTAAGATGTTGATAATTACCAAGGTGGATCCATCATAATTGCTTAATTGTATAATATAAAATATTACCATCAAATAATTTGCCTGCTATCTTTTGTTGGGAAGCTATCAAAGATTTAAAGTTAAATGTTATGACATCAGCATTTATGGGTATTGAATTCTCAGGTACAGAACTAGTCAATGTTGGTAATTCATTTTATCTATTTTTTAAATAGAATGTATTGAATACTCTTTAAACCACTCCAATTTTTATGATTCAATACTAGCTTCTACTTTGGATAACAGTTTTATCAATCCTTACTTATTTTTTGGTAATTTATCATATTCAATGGTTTCGTTGATATCTAAATCACTATTCTTTCTCTCCTTGTTTAATTGCTTTTTCACTCCAAAATCTATATCATTGTTGTCATCTCCACCTGCTTCACTCCCAAAATCCAAATAATTTCTTCGAGTATACTATCTTAAATTATATGTTCCATTTTAGGATTCCTTTATACTTACCCCAGATAATTCCTCAGTGTTGGTTGAGTTCTGTTTTTTAGTTGATACTTCCTTTTATTACTTCTTTGTTTTCTATTATTTTTAATCTTCATTGGTATTGATGACTTTATCCAATGATATTACTTGCTTTCCATTACAATCTAAATTATCTTCAGCAGTAGATTTCGATTATTGGCTACGTCTTCCTTACATTCACAAATTAAGATTTAATATTATTATTATATTTGTTCCAATCTCACTCTTTTACCAATTTAAGTTGGCGCCTTTTTAATACAATATAATGTTACAATTTCTACTTGACTTATATGATATAAATTAAAGATTTATTGGTTCTTACAACCATCCTTTTCAAATTATATAACGAATAACAACACAGACAATCTTAATTAAATTATATAAAACTATAATCATCATTGAAATTAATCTGTATTTCAAATACCAGATATCTACATACCATTTCTTTTAATTCATTATACAAGTTAAGTACTTAAATTAACTATGTAATTTTGAAAAATTCAGACTACTTTTTGGAATGCACACTCCCTATATTATGATTAATTGAATCTTAATTGTTTAGAAATTCAAATCTCTAATTGTACATAAATAAATAGCAATTAAATAATAAATAATAAAAATTACAAATTATTGTTATCCGTTCATTTATAGAATAGTATATAGATTACATATAAAGAAAATACATGATAAAAGAATAAGCATTATAAATATATATTGATATTATAAAATCTTGGTTTCACTTGTTCAAATCATTTCTCTTGTTAAGAATTGCTTATCTCATTTTTGTCACATCTTTTTATCCTGGATACTCACCATCCTTTAAAGCTATATTGGATGCAATTTAATCCCATGAATTTTTCTTATATAGATTTACTATCTTACATACTAACTATGATTCTTTTTATTTTCAAACCAAATCTCTTATTTCTATTTATTCAACACTTTTCTTTATTCAATATCCTATACTTATTAACTATTGAATATAATTTTCAAATTTACCTTTTGAATTATTGCAAATATTCTTGACCTTTTTATTTTTTTTATTATTTCAATATCCTTTCTTGTTAATCCATCTCTCTTATCTGAGCAAGTCTTTCCTCTTCAATTATTTTCAATTTATCCTTTCTTACCTATTATTCTGGACTCTATTTTTGAATGAACAAGTACCACAATGAAAACTTATTGCTAAGATTAAATAGGTGCTTCATTTGAAAAAGCACTAAATACATCATACTATCATATGACATTTCTCATACTTAAGCTTATTAAAATTGACCTTAATCAACCTATGAGGCATCAGAAGGAACAACCTAAGTTGTTACATCTTCAAAAAAGTCATCCATTATTTAACTTAATTATATTTCACTACAAATATGAGATAAACGAAACACAATTAAATAGATATAATCTGAATTTAATCAAAGTTAAACAATATTATTTGTTTGTTGTTATTTTTTTTTATTTTCCTAAAAGTGATATTATGTATTCACATGAAATGCTATTTAATTGATTGATATATAATCCCAATTATCATATTTGGTTTCTAATTATTCTAATTTAAGATGTAATCATTAATTTTATTTTGAAAAATACTGTGATGAAAAATGTTGTTAATTAAACCTAGCTTCTTTCTCTCAAATTGCAAATAATTATAATCATATTTTATAGTCTACAATTTTTTATTGTAAATATATGTAATACTGTAATTTTGTCTTAAATTTTCTTATAATATATTATTAAATTTTTATTGTTTATATCTTATAGAATTTTAAGAGATACATTAATTCCTATATTAAATATACCAATATGAGAGCTACTTAGTTGATAAAAGCTTTGAAATATTAAATTGCATTTTAATTAATGATACTAATTCTTCTTATTGATTAAAAATTGAATTAAACTGATTAGAGTACATAATTATATATACAAAAGATAATTAAAATAATCTTTAAATTCTTAAGAAATCAATTACTGTATTCTAAAAATATATTAAATAATTACAATATATTCTTGCTATTATTATTAATAACAGAATTTTAAATTATGCATAAGCAATATAATTTTGCTGGAGTTGATCTCTTATAAGAGTAAATGTCTAATAAATACATATTAGATTTCCAGAACAACAATCATATTTTGAATAAACCTAAGGATATCAAAATGATTTTGAATCATCAAGATAACCTGTCATTCCAGAAGTTTACTAACCAACTAATTTGGGAAAGGACTTATTCATTACACTCTAAGTAAATTAATTTTTTAACTTATTAGAATGAATATAGAAATACCAGAAAGGTAACAACTTATTCAGACAAAGCATTGTTTGATTTATGGAAGGTGACTGCAAGATCATAAGCAGGTAAACCACCTCCAAAGAAACCAGCAAAAGAGCCTGAAAATGTATATTCATAAATTTATTATATATTAGGAGATAATGAGGAAACAAATAGAACATAAAAGAAATTTGCATTTTTATGCTTAAGCTAATGAGAAAGATGTTCAATATACATTAAAATAATTTGGTGATGCTGAAGAATAAAATGCAAATATCAGTAAATTTATAGAAGAGAGACAATCATAATTGTTACAATAAAAAAAAAATTAAGAAAAGAAAAATAAGAAAATGAGCAAAGAAGTTTTGAATAGATTATTTCCTAAACCATTAATTTAATAAGAAGATGACTTAAAAACAAAGGAAAAGAAATAAAGGGAATAATTTGTTGAAGCTGTAATCTAACATTATAAAGCAAAAAATCCAGATCATAAAAATTTTAAATATCCAGATAGATTAAGATAATATTGGAGTGAAATATAAAATAATAAACCTGAAGGTAAAGGTGATGATTTTGATTTGTATTTTTAAGATTCTATGGAAATGATAAATGATCAATTTTATAAATTTAAAGGATTTTATACTGATAATGTAGATGATATTATTAAAATATGGAGATAAACTCTATAGCATTCTAAATAAGAGATTGTAACATATGAAAGTGAAGAAAATTTAAAAACTCTATTAACTCAATATTTATAAATGAAAAAAGATTAAGAAGATGTTAATTTAGGTTTACGTAAAATTGAAATGGAAAAGAGTATGAAAAAAAAGAAAACTGAAATTAATTATTAAAGAGTAACTGAAATAGCAAAACCTAAAGATAGATTAAAAGTAGGAAAAACTTTATTGGATTTAAAGAAAATGTATCCAAATGATAAAATCTTGAGGAAAATGTTATTATAAGAATTTCGTGATACAAAAGTGGCTAAATATCCTTAAGAATATGATGTTGTTGATAGTGATGAAGAAAATAAACAAAAAATGAGACATCTCTCATAAAAAGGTGGATGTGTGATAACCTTAGAAGAAATGGAAGTACCAGCAAAAATGAAAATAGATGAAATAGCAGATTTATTTGAAAAACATATGGAGATGTATTATTCAGAAAAATAAACTGCTTTAAGAAAAGAAGAATAAGAAAGAAAAAAGAAAAGATAAGCAGAATTCAAACTTAATAAATATATAGAATAAATGGCTAAAAAGTATTTAGAATTAAGAAAAAAGAGATTTGAAGAAAAAGTACCCACAATTAATGAATATTTATCTACTATGTATAAATAAATGTTGATATCACATAAAGATGCAACAAAAGAAAACTTTCCACATTTAAAATATGGAGAAAGTAAAAAATTAAGAAAGAAATCCTTTCCTAGTTCATTAAAGAGATATTTCTTTGGAATGATGAAATCTTATGTTAGAAGAAAATATGATTATATTAAAGATGAAACTAATAGAATAGGTTTTTGGGTACCAACTAATGGAAAGAGTATGTGTGTAGTTCATAAAGATTCATTATGTCCACCTGGATGTACAAAATAGACATTAAATCAAAGAGTAATTGGTTAAAGTCGATTAGTAAAAGAAGCATAACTCTTTGCAGATAGACCAAAAACATCAGTTTGGGATTCTGATAATTATTAATCTGAAAGATGCAATATTATGATGACATTCTCAGATGCTAAAGAATGCACATTTTAACCTGCAGTTTGTTATAGAATGCCAGAAAAATTAAAAAAAGTTATTTTATAAACTCATAATTGGGCTTAAAGTAATGTAGGTAAAAGTGGATCATTAAAACATTTCTTATCATAATTTGGAGAAAATTTCAAAAAAGTACCCTCCATATATAGATTTGGTATTTTTAAGAGATCTTAAGTACTCTATAGAAAAGGAGATTATAGAAAATCTTATTAATTATTGGCTCTTAGTTTTAATATAAGAGATCTTAAATTGATATTTAGAGATCCTGAAGTCAAAATGAAATAACCAAAACCACATCCAATTTTTAATGCATAAAATATGGGTATAGATGAAGATGAATTAAAGAAAGTACCACATGAAAATTTATAATTAATGGAACCTGATTATTAAAATAAACCTGAATATAAGTTCTTATTAGAAGTTTATCTTTTTATTAAGCAATTAGAATCTTATGAAGATTAATTATACTAATCATAGAATAATCTTAAAAGAATGCTAAAATAGGATTCTCATTACTTTACTTCATTATAAGCTCTAAGTAAAACTTAATCTTATGATTTACGCAAATTAACTGTTAAAGATTAAATGTGCCCATTAGGATAGGATTGTCCTTCAATTTAAACAAGATGGCCAAACTCAAATGTATCAGGTGTTACACCTATTGGAGCAGAATGTATGTTTGCTCATCATCCTTATGAACTGAGATTCAGATAAGAATTAAGAGCTAGAAAAACTGCTCTAAGAGGCACTCTTAAAGCAGTCACTGAAAGACTAGGAGGTAATTCAGCTATTAAAGCATGGAATCCTGCTGGAAATACAATGAAATTATGTATTGGTTGTTCTGAAAAGGCTTTGTGTTCAGAATGTGCCATGAAAAAAAAGAATATTGCAACTTTAGAGATTTTAAGAAGAAAAGCAAAAAAAGCGTATTTGAAAATAAAAGAGAGACCTAAATTTAAGGAAAGAAGAAAAATGGAAGAAAAAGAAGCTAAAAATTATAACATTAAGTTAAGTTGTCTAAGTAGAGCTAATGCTTTGTATAATAAAGAAAGATATTCAGAAGCATTTGAAGTTATATTAAAAGCAATTGAAATTGTTAAATAAGAAATTGAAGAATAAGAAAAAGAATTTGAGGCTAGTTAATTGAATCTAAAGAAATAATTATAAATTGATCCAGACACTGATGTAACAATTAAATAAGTTTATGAATCAACTGTAAAATTGAATCCTGATGATAAATAAGAAGCATAAAAATTATGTATGTATGCTAAATAGACTCATCTTGATGCTGATCCTGAACCTGATACCAGATAATTTATTAATAGACAAATTGAACTCCTCTACAAGAAAATAGAATAAAAATTATAGGATAATTTAAATGATATATAATTGATGAAATAGAAAATTAATAAGATTGAAGATAAAGAAGATTAAAAAGCTAAGAGCAAAGTTAAAGATTTATCAATGAAGATGTGTCCAGAATTCATTAAAGATGGTAGATGTAAGAAGGGATAAAAGGATTGCCCATATTCTCATAATTATCTTCTATTAGATTTAGAACCAACTGATAGCAAATTGAAAAGTCTTTAAGAATCTATTAAAATGAAGGAAGTTTCATTAAGAGAATCTAAACCACCTATTCCTTGGGTTTAATCAGGAATGAAAGATGCAGAAGAATGTAATATTGATTATAATTTATTTTAGACAACAATACTGCTGCATATGATAAAGAATTGGAAAGAAAAAGAATTTTAAGATCAAAAAGCAAACAATCAAAATAATCAAAATCATAATCAAAGGATTTGTATTCCTAGGATTTTGAAGATATCAAAACACCAATTTATGAGAGAAAAAAGAAATAAAACTTTTGATAGCTATAAATAAGTTATCAACTATTGTCGTCATAGTTTTTATCTTGATTTCAAAATAAATCTTGGTACTTGAACATCCTTTTTCCTTAATTTCTTCTATTAAGTTATACCTGTTCTTTCAATCAGATTTATGGTTTAGAGAGATTGAACAATTTAAATTGTAGGTACATTTATTGTACGATATTCTGATACATGACGTAGATTCCTTTGAGTTTTTAATTATTATAATAAATATTTTGGTCTGTACTGATCAGGAACAATTATTCTTTCTGACTATTTCTCTAAAGACCTACCTCTAAACTCAAAGTGTTAGTTTGAATTTGATTTTGGACAAATGAGTTTGAGAAGTTAAGATCTAGGTTTTTACACAATATAGCTATTATTATGAATCAATGCATTTTCTCGAGGTTTGAATAAGCGTTGCATTTCTTTATCGTAATCAATTTCGTTTTGAGATTCCTCATGCAAACTTAGAAGTGTCTCTATAGCATTTTTTTCTCTCCAATTTAATTAATTAAACATATAATTACTATTAAAAGATTATTAATTATAAATATCAGATAGCTCTGTATGCATAAGAAGTAATACCACAAGTATTTCCAGGGGCGAGAGTCATGAATCCTTTTTCACCCCAAGAAGTGCCCCAAGAATTTTTGATAAACCAATTATCATTCTCATCAAATCCAACTGCTAAGACAGCATGATTTACAGATCTACTACAATCTTTAAAGACCCCTCCTCCATAAAATTACCAATTAGAGGCATCTACTACTACAACAAGGGGATATTCTGTCAAGAATTACTTAACATTATTCGAACTTACACTTTAAGCTCCATTAGTTTTATAAGGTCCTGAATTATATAAGCAAGTAACTGATTATTTCTAAGTATAAGGATATACTCTAGCATCATTCAATCCATGATTAGCAATATACTTCAAAGCTAGGTTTTGATATCCTCCATTGCATCCAAAAGACTGAGTATCACAATCAATTAATTGTTATTCTGACAATACAACAGACGTGTTATTTTTAACATAAAACCAAGCCTCTGCTGCTCCTACTGCACCAAAAGCCCAGCATCCAGCACATTATCCTTAATCTTTAACTTATGTTATCTTTCTCCAATCAACTGAAGTTTTAGTTTTATCGTTTTTTTTAATTGAACTTTCTTATTCATCAGTAATTTATTTTTATTAGATAAATTCATCAGAAATATAATGTGTTAGATAAAGTAATGAGAATTCTTCTTCTGATAAATCACTGAATTGGTTCATTCTCATCTTATAAGTTTTATTTTTATCAGAATTATGTTTATTTACTTTATTTAGATTAATTTAAAAATTAAAGAATCTAAAAACCTCTTGCTGTCCTGTATAAGATTTTCCATATTCTCTTTTCCAACTCTAAAATTCAATATGACCATCATTTTCTTCTTAATTCAAATAAGTAAAAGCACTCAACAACCCTATAAGTATAATTAATGCAGATTTCATTGAATTTTATTTTATTAGGATTTCATAAATTGTTTATTAATTAAATTCTAATGACATAATTTAACGCTCTACCATGACGTAATACTATCAATAATAAATCATTAATTATAATAAATAATATTTAATCATTAATTAAATTTCTCATCCCAATAAAGATCTTTTACTAATTCCTTCTTATATAAATTTTTCTCTCTAATATCCTAAACCTTATCTCATATCTTACAATCTTGATTTCACTCTATATGATCTTATTTTACTTCTCAATTGTTACAATTTCTTTGTCCCAAATTAGCCTATCCTTAGGTGGAATTAAGGAGGCTTCAACTCTTTATCCGTCAGTTTATCCTATATTATAGTACATTAAAATTAGCAAAACTTAATGAAAATAGAAAAACACTTAGAATATTAATTTAATAGTATATAAAACTATATCTTCTTAAGTTGTATCACAAATACCTAAACCAATCCATTAAACCAAGTGTTAGCCTTCAAAGCTGCATAATTACCTTCTATACGAATTTATGGGGTTCTATTTAATAACTAATCGATAAATTTTTTTAGCCTTTCTATTTTTAAAATGATTTTGATATGAAATTTGTTTCCTTGTAATTTCCTCATATATTTCATATGGGTCTTCTGCATCTTCAGCAAAAGGAACTCCTCCACACATAAATTCATACAGACAGATTCCGATACACTAAATATGAATAACCCTAATGCATTATAATTATAATACCTTATACATTTAAAATTTCTGGAATCATGTAATGAGGATTACCGATTATAGTAAATGCGCAACCCTTCCCTTTGAAAATTTTGGCTGTCCCCATATCAATCAAATGAATAAATCCATTATGATCTACCATCAAATTTTCTAGTTTAATGTCTCTGTAAACAATGTGGAGAGTATGCAGATATTCCATACAAAGTAATAAGGAGGAAACATAAAATTATGAATCATAAACATTCAGTAATTCTATATCTCTAATTTCATTGAAAAGTTCCAAGCCTTTTATATCATCCTTCATTGATTTGTAGAATCTCATCATCAAAGGAAATTGGATTTGTTCAAGAACAGTTTTCTCTTATATTAGATGATTTTCTAAATGATATTCTACTATATGTTTTAATGATGCATTTCAAAGCATACAATTTACCATCCTTTTTATTCTTACACATATACACTGAGCCAAACTATCCTAATTTCTTTATATAAATCATATCATCCAAAACTAAAAAAATTGACTTGTTATTTTGAAATCTATTTCTACATATATTTCACTTCGTGATTATTTTCATTCTTTTGAATCACTTAATCTAATAATCCTCCTATACATTCTAAAAATACATCAAAAGGTATTGTTAATCAATTAATCAAGACTACTTTTCAATTTTCAAATCTAATCAACAAAAAAATTATAAGATATAAATTATATTATAAAAATTTATTATCATCAAAATCTGCTCATTCTGAAATTACAAAATTAATTAACATTTTAGTCAAAGCCCACTATACTTGTGCCACCTTTCCTCCTTCTTAAAATAAATATCATAAGTAATTATTTTGTCTCCATTTTTTTATAGGCAATAATTGATCCCCAACTATTTATCCTTTAGTAGCTATCTCTTTTTCTTTCTTAATTTTAAATATTTAATATTTTTACATTGCATAGCTTCCTTTTTAATACTATAACCAATTTATCACATTTCTAATCAGCTATGTAGATCTTTTGATTTGCCTCATAATTTATGGTCTAAATCTTAATAAAAATCTTTTCAATTTAAATTTTAGTTAATTAAATAATGTAAACTAAGAGCATTCAAAATAATCTAATAATCATGAGGTTTCTTGTCCTTTTCTAGTTTTTCTACGTTCTCCAAAAAGTCATCTTTTTATCATATCGCATTTTCAAATTTCTTAACCTTTTTTTCATTTCTTTATTTGATGTGCTAATATATATAAATGATTCATACATCATCCTAACCTTAGATAACTTCTGATGCATGTTTCGAATCTTATTTCAACATCGTACCTCCATTCTTTATTTGCTCTGTTATAGTATCTTCTTTTAATTTTTAGTTCTATTTAAATAAATTCAAAGCATCCTTTCCAGGGCTTTGATCCTCTTATTAGAGTTCTTTTTTTGGTTTTCTAATGTAATATTATTTAAGAATTAGAATTTTAAAAAAACAAAAGATTTTCATAGTAAAGAGATAATACAAAATATTTCCCATTTATAATTTAAATTATAAGTCGGTTCAAATAAAATTATTAGCAAGGGTCATTGAGTAATATTGATCTTTATAATATATCTATTATTTTCTTTTGTATTGATCCTTATTGAATTATAATTTAACTTTGATATATTATTTTAATATGTCAACAGATTTTTCAGTTGAAGACAAATTGGGGTTGTTAGAAAATACGATAGACTATTTTTGGACATAATTTGCAGGGTATTTACGAATAATAAGATTAGAATTGTGGTTTTGTTGATGCAACTTGGATTTGCATTTTTAGAAGGTGGATGTGTCAGATATAAAAATATGTAATCAATTATGATTAAAGTCTATCTAAATACATGTATTGCTGTCATTTGCTGGTGGCTTGTAATTTAAAAATTGATATTTAAGGTTGGTTATGGTATTTGCATGGGTTCTGGATAATTTGCTGGGACAGATTACTATGCTGGAAGTAATTTTGCTGGAACTAAGCATTATTCTCACTGGGGTACAAAATTATATATTATCTACAAGTCTTGTAAACATCAGTTGGAGCAGCTGCTAATAGTATTGTATCAGGAGGAGCAGTCGAAAGAATGTCAATTATTGGCTATTGCTTTTTGAGCATAGCATTTTCTTCTTTTATTTATCCTATTTGTGCTCATTGGACTTGGGGAGGAGGTTGGCTTCAAGAATTAGGATACATTGATTTAGCTGGAAGTGGTACAATCCACTTTATGTCTGCACTGGGAGCACTTGTGTTAACAGTAATGTTAGGAGCAAGGAAAAATAGATGGAATGAGAAATATGCAAACGAATTTAATCCAAGCAACACGACATATATTTGTTTATCCACTCTTTCACTTTATACATGTTGGATATTCTTCAATGCTGGAAGTACGACTGCTTTGTCAGGTACAATGGCTTATGCAGCAGGAAGAGCTACAACTAATACAATCATCGCTGGAGCTTCAGGAGGATTAACATTAATGGTGTTACATTACTATAAAAATAGAAATGAGAAGAGTAAGTTCAGTTTAGTAATGATTTGTAATGGAAATTTGGCAGGACTGGTTGCAGTAACAGGATCTTGTGATGGAATTGAATTATGGGCAGCTTTTGTAATTGGAATTTTAGGAGGATTAACATATTGGGGATTTGGAATCTTAATACATAAATTTAAAGTAGATGATCCAGTTGATGCATTCCCAATACATGGAGGCTGCGGTCTAATTGGTGCTCAATTTCCAGGATGGTTTAATACAGAAAAAGGAATTTTATATGGACATGGTGCTAAATAATGGGGTATTCAACTATTAGGCACTGTGGTTTGGTTAGGTTGGTCAATAGTATTGCATGCTATTGTTATATTTATACTAAAGATTTTAGGATTGTTAAATGTTACTCCAGAAGAGGAAGAAAAAGGTTTGGATTATGCTTAATGTGGAGGAGGAGGATTTGATTATTAGTTGTTACCACCTATCTTAAGTACAGGTGGTTATGAAAATGTCAAGTCTGCTATTAATTAAAAATAAGACAATGCCCCATAATATGGATAAGAAAATGATTAATAACAAGTTCTTTGAAAACATTCAAATGTTGTTATTAAATTAACCATCAATATTAAAGTTCCTTATTCTACATAATCCATTTAATATTATTGATTCTATACAAAAATCTCAAATACATTTTTAATTAAATAAACTCAAATGAATTCTGAAATTGATCCTGTATACACTAGATTATATCATAAATATTCAATGAAATACAGAAGGATCATAGACAAGTACTATTCTATAGATAAATTTATAGATGGATTATGCATCCAGGAAAAAGATGGGCATTATGTGCCTTATTACTCTTTTTTTATTTTAGCAGACTTGTTCAAACAGAAAGTTATTTTGTTGTATCGTATATGCTTGGAATTTAAATAATTTAATCGTTATTGAGATACTTTACACCACTAGGGCTTCCTGATATTGAAGATGAAGATGAAGATGTAAATAGTAATTCTTTCAAATATCCCATTAAGTCTAACTCCCATAGCATAATGATGACAGACCTCTAATTAGATCTATGCCAGAAATTTAATTGTGGGAATAAATAGTCTTTGCTCTGTTCCTTTCAAATTTTGCAACATACTTTTAAATATTTGATCTTCCTGTTTATTGGCCTTTCTTATTTAGCTATTTCATTTTAGTTATGATCATAACTTTTAAAAAGTATCTTAAGCATATGCAGAAATACGGATATAGTTGGGGAGATTTCTCAAAGAGATGATTGTAATTAATTTTTATAAACATCATGCATTTATCATTTATATTCAACTCAATTACGGTTATTATTATTGCTATTCTTTAGTAAAATTTCTTAACTAAATTTCTTAAGGCTTGATCTTTTTTACATTATTTTATAAGAAAACTAAATTATTAACATGTTTCGTAAATTAATTAAATTACATTCTACTAATTAACTTAATTCTTAATCATTTATTTGCTCATAATTGTATTATTTTTAGCATATTCAATTATTTTCCACTTAATCATCTTGTTCTAGGAAAATAAGCTAAAAGAGCAAATATTGCGTTTGAAAGCCCTCTAACATTTTAATTTAATGTTTGGTGGAGTTTTAAGAATATAAAATTAAATAATATAATTTTCCAAAAATGATAAAAATGAATAAATTTTATAATGTTTATAGAACCTATTTAAGTGTTTGTTTTTTTATAAAAATTTCATATTAATTTATTATGGCATTTTTTTATTTTAGATATAATCTATTTGATTATTTAAAAATCTAAATAAACAAATAGTATATTTTTTTTAATTCTGGTCTAATTTTAATTATTTTTTGTTTAAAATTTAATTGATTTTTAGAATCTAATTAATGGATTTATTTTATGAATAAATGGGTTGCTATTAGATATATTCTCATGAAAAAATATTGTTTTAATATCAATGTTTTTTATCTGAGGCATATTTAATATAACATTTGAAATATATCAAATATTCATTAGTTGACTTTTATATATGACTAATTATAATGCACTCATTTTAATAATTTTCTTAAATGTATTGCTTTGTTTATCATAACTATAAAGAAGATGCTATTCGTTTTAATTAAATAAATTTGGTTATATTTTTTTATAAATTTATAAACTTTGAGTGTTTTATATCTATTATAACTAAATTTAAAAATTGATTATATAATAT